CGATGTTTTTTTTGGAACCAATTAAAATCATTAAGCGAGGCACCACTGTAGTTCATTAGTGCATTCTTTCAATCTTTTTCATATTTTGCCCTGATAATTAATATACTGTATTCCCCTGTTAATCTTTCAGCACCACTATTCTTGATCCATATTTCAATCCATCTGAGATTTTATGACCTTGCATTTTAGAGTTGTCTCTATTGTTTTATCTGTGTTGTTCAGAGAACAACCCTGGATGGCTTAATATTGACCTAGTAACCAAATAAGGGAATAAATGTTACTAGGCAAGCAGAGCAGCCACAGGTTCCTACCTTGGGTTTAATCTTGAGACTTAGCTAACTTTATAGCAGTGCCAGTGGTGCTGCATTACTGGAATTTTGGGGGGATGGTTAGAGTGCAAGAAGTTTCCCATTCCTCGTTTTGTGTATCTTGAAACAGAAGGAGTTATTTCACATCCTTTGTACTGAATGAGAGATAAATCATAAAATATGTAACTCCAGGAGTTCCCCTTAAAACCTAACAAAGATTCCCTTTGCCCCTTTGCTTTTTCTTTATTCCTATACAGCTTTGGAGAGTCTTTACTTTTTTTCTAAGATGGAACATTAAGGAGACTCTGTCTGAACTGTGAAGGTTTTTTTTTTACAAATTCTTACTATGCAAAAGAAAAATCATAGGGCTTCAGTTATGAACTCATTGTAATCACTAGTTTCTGCCAGTTAAAATAAAGCTGCCATTCTGTGCCTATATACTGGTGGTACATCCTAGGGGGTAGTAACCTCTTAATTATTTGGGGTTTACTTTCAAGTAGCCATGTATGGACTTGTATGGGTCTGTCCATATCAGCAACAACAACCAAAATAATAATAATACTGTAATAACAGGGAGAGTAAAACTGTGTTGTTCTGGGTTTGGCCCTCACTCACAACTTGTATGTAACACTGAGCTATGAGTTTACTGTTTATGGCTGAACCTTATGCTCAGATTAGTTTAAACTCTTGTTAGTGAGTACCTCAGGGTCATTCACTCCTTTTTTGATCCTTGCTTGTTTGAACTTAATCGAGTTGAACCAGAATCCTCTGTCTTTCAATATGATGGAGATCTCTGCTTAGGTTAAAGTCAAAAGCAAAAGCTTTCAAAGGGGAAGAATAGGAGGACCTGAGTTCAGGGCTGTTCACTGTTTTCATTCTCCTTCATGGTCTTCTTGCATTAAGGCATTTGCTTCCCTAAAGGTGCCCAAACCTTCTTGGAGTTAATTTGTTTAAACAGCTTATATCTATTAGTTTTACAAAGCTGACCATGTGCTTACTTGTAAATTGGACACTCACTTGCCTGCATTTTAATCATAGTGGAGTGGCAACTGAATCTGGTAAACTATAATGCCAGTCACTGCTAAAGCCTACCATTTAGTACCCATGCCACATCAGGATACAGTTGGAGGTTGGAAACCTGCATCTGTAAGGCCTGTTGTCCAATCATGGACCAAACAGACCTGCAGTTGGACTGGAAGCCCCTGGTTCAAATCTCCGCTCAGTCACGAAACCGTGAATGACCTTGAGCAAGTTCATGCAGGCCAGTGCAGTCCTATCCATGTGTACTCAGAGCTCACGGAGGGCTGAGCTCAGTGAGTTCCATTCTGCTCAGTGAGGGCTACTCCTCAGTAAGTGGATATAGGATTGTTGCCTAAATGCGACAAAAATGTCCATCTGGATTCTACGTTTCCCTCTTGAGTGACCTGTTAATCACATTTTATTTGACATTTGAAAATCTGAATCACCTGTACTGTTGCTGAACGTAGATTACCTTAATAAGTGTGATTCTGCACAACAAGAAGCATTTTCTTCATCAGAATTAAAAGATCAAAGGATAATATTAATAATCACAAATCCGGGGCATTATAATGTAATCTTCAAAGAGAGCTTCTGATGGTCTCTGTGAAGACTTTTGTTCAGAACACTCTCTTGATTGCTTCTTGCTTCCATCCACCTCTCTCCCTCTCTGCACCCCTCCCTCTTGCTCTCTTTCGAATTAATACCCCTGTGGCCCTATAATCCCTGAAGCCAGACTCACAAGTCTGTAGAGTTAACACATGTTACGATTCCTTGGTCATTCCAAGGTGCGTTTTAAAGCTTACAGCAGTAGGAGCAATTACGGCTTTCATGATGAAAAGTGCCCCAGTTTTGCTTCTTATGTATAGCTGATGCTTAGGTATTCTGGTCCAGGCAGAGCTGTCAAAATCCATCATGTTAGCACTGTGCTTTATAGCACAGCTTATGAAAGGAGAAGTGTGTTTTGATTTAACTTTCGAGGAAACCCCTTTCCCTTTACTACTATTCAATAAAACTGAAACTCAGAATGAGTTAAAGGTGTTTTAATATTTATGGATGTAGAAAGAAGCCTTATTCAGACATGGTGCTTAAAACATAGTCATGATTTCCTTAAATTGTGGTTTAGTATTTATTCTAAATGCACAAACTATGCACAAGGCAAGGAGTGGCTAAACAGTGCAAAGACAGGCTATGGGTCAAACTATATTAACCATGATTAAGCATTTGTTCTATACCTCAGATTTTGTTGGACTTCTTTACCCAGAAGCCCTAGCCAGTGTTCAGGGATTCTGGGAATTACAGGTCAACAACAGCTGGGGACCCCAGTTTGAGAATCATGGGTCAAACTATATTAACCATGATTAAGTTTGAGAATTATTGATGTGCACCAAGGCTGAAATCCTGTTGACATAACTACACCTGCAGAAGGGTGATGATGTCACCAGCAAGGGGAGATTTTCAAGATCTGTCCCTTCTCTATTATGACTTGTCATACCTGAGAATAATCTGTTACATCTCATTGAAGCCATAGAAGCCACAGAAGGGAAGGAGGAAGTCTTTCATTAAGCAAAAGCACTGTTGCTAGGTGGCATTACCAGCAGGGGGAGGTTTTAATTATTTAAAGAATTCCACCTTCCATTCTGCAGTGTCCACAGATTCACAAGTCAGATAAGCCATGGGAGACAAGTGACAAATCTTTAATTTCTAAAAATCTCTCTTGCTGATAACATCATTACTCTTCCAAAGATGTGGTTAGACTGCAGGATTTCAGCCAACAATACCCATAATTAAATTGGTTTTCTGACATCTCCAGTGTTTCTTCTGTTTACAAGCACTGGTTTCCAAACTTGTGTCCCTAGATGTCCTTGGACTACAACTCCCAGAACTCCTGGCCAGCACATTGGTGACAAAGGCTTCTGGGAGTTTTGGTCCAAGAACATCTGGGGACCCAAGGTTGGAAACTATTGGTTTACAACATGATAGAAACAGGCCCTCCTGTTATCTCCCTACCCACATTACCTGGGAGTAGGTATGCACTGAGCATAAAGAACATCTGGGGACCCAGGGTTGGAAACTATTGGTTTTACAGCATGATAGAAACAGGCCCTCCTGTTATCTCCCTACCCACATTACCTGGGAGTAGGTATGCACTGAGCATACTAAGCCATTTTTTGGTAAAACACCAGTAACAGTAACCTGTCACATGAAACTCTAAGCCCTCCCGCCCATAAATTCATCGATAACCTATTAAAAATTGTGACTTGAAAGCAAATTGTTGACATGTCCAGTCTGCTTTAGATTTGAAGGCAATAGGCCTAAAATCATGGAAACAACTGACAAGTCAGGTCCTTGGAACCTGACTTACTTTTCTAGCACTGGTTTGTGTGGTTTTTCACCAGTTAATAAATATATTCGTCACCAGAACACAGAATTTATTCATTATATGTTCTGCATCATTTGTTAGTTCTTAGCAATGCTTCTAAGTCATTCTTTTAATTCTTCTGACATTAACAGCTTGAGTAAAAATATACCTTTTATGTTACTTGCACTCATTATTTGTAGGATAATTCATGGGAGTGGCCATTCTGAGTCATTTTAATTGATTTTTTCAAAATTCAGAAATAACGCGTTACTAACGTCCATCAATGATTCATAATAGCAAAGTAATTTTCAAATTAATAGCATTGATCTAAACATTACCAAGTTATGGTCTTAGCCAATATTGACCACTCAAAGCTTATTTTCATACGTGCTTTTTAGAAATTGAGAGCACTGTAATCATTCAGTGAATAGTTTGTGTTGAGTTTTAATTTCTCTTTAATTTTAACTTGCATTCTCCTTTTCCTCAGTTAAATATTTGCCTTTGTTGTTGGTTGCTACCCAAGTTATATATTAAAAAAGTCTAAATTTCAGTTAATCTTTGAGTTTATTGGATCTGAGTTTAGCTTTCTGGCTAGATACATAGATGGCAATATAGGTTGAGGCCAGAATAGCTGTGCTGCCATTCCCAACATTACCTGCCAATGTGTGACTGACAGGAATTTGCAAAGCAACAACTGGACAGCAGGACTTTGCACAGTCTGTTTTAAACAAATCGTCTTATGCAGACCTGGAAAACTTGTTGTGAACTATTCAAAACACAACCAGCTATGTATGTTAACCCTCCAGAGCATTCTAGATTGCCAATTTTTGATGCCAAAATAGGAGGGTGGTAACATACCAGCAGGTAGTACAATATATGACCAGTCACCTACATTTAGGCTTGTTGTTAAACTATCACTATAATCATGGCAGCATTTCTTTTGTGTTCTCATCTATACTGATATATTGAGTGGTTTATATTGCCACCCGGTAAATAAGGGAAAAATAAAATATTAATGTTGAAAGCATTCTAGTAAACTGTTTTTAAGGCATTGATCTGTTCCTTGGCCAGGGGGTCTTTACTGTGTGTACACTCATTTTTTTCTGTGTTTTTTTCCTGTTCAAGAGGCAAATTAAATCAGGAAACATATGAGCAACTTACCATTTTCAAACTATTGTTTGTGTTGTTTTAATGTTTGTATTCACCCCCTTTTCAGTATATTGTGTTTGATTCTCTCCCCCTCCCTCCCTCTCTTCCTTTTGCATGCTGCTATAAGCAGACAAATTAACCTAATTATTTTTTCATTCCAACAGAATTCCAGAGGCAAGATAGTGTGAAGCCCCAGCAAAAAGACATTCAGTTGTACGACACGCCTTACGAACCTGAAGGCAACGGCATGGAGTCAGATTCAGAAAGCATAGTGAGTCAGCGCTTGCGAGAAAGCAAGTTGCCACAGGATGACGACAGACCTGCGGATGAATATGACCAGCCATGGGAGTGGAACAAGGTCACCAT